ACATCTAAAACCGGAGAACGGTTATAAAGGCAATCTATTCGGCTCCAAATTTTTGCATTTTCACTCTGAAACTTAAAATACGTATAACTTTTTATAGAAAGCTATTTTGCAAAAACAGAAAGCAGATTCAGAATCAGCCTGAAATTCTGCGTCGAATTATCTTTGGCTTATCAGATTTGGACTAATCCTACTGTTGCGATTGTTAGCATTTTTGCTGGGCCTTCAAAATTGTCCTAACTTGATTTTAAAAGTGTTTTACTGTTTTCTGAGTTTATAATAAGAAAGCTGGATGTTTTGCTTTACTTTCGAGTAAGGGAGTTGATTCGGAAACTAGAGTTCGGCAAACAAAACCAAAACCAAAACAGACCAAAACCAAAACCAAAACCAAAACACCAAAACAAACCAAAACTCAATAAATTAACATGCCTTTCGCTTTTTCTCACTCCCCAAAATCTCGCGGCCGAAAAAAGGACCAAAACACACCCTCGAAATTTCGAAACAAAAAAATAGCCTATGGGATAGATTTTTGGACGCTGATTTCAAATCTGCAAACAGATTTTCGCTAGCTCCTCCCAATCGCGAGATATTGGCGAGTTTTGGTTAGTTTTGGTTTTGGTTTTGGTTTTGATCTCTTTTTGGTTTTGGTGGTTTTGGTTTTGGTTAAGTTCTGCTTTCCGAAGTCTATCGGAAACTGTGAAAACTAAACTGTAAGCGTTCTGGATAATCATGACATTTCCATGCTCTAAGTTTTTAATTTTAAACTCAAAAACTTTTAAACTGGTCACAATTTAATTAAAACTTTAAAATTTAAAGAATCGCTTGAATTATGAATATAACATTGTTTTTGAATCCCATGCTATCAGCATTGACAATTGAATTAGATCGTCTTGGACAGGTAAGAAAAGAGGCTGGGACAAAGAATGATGTCCATAATCCTTGAGTGGCTATTGAGTTGTACTAAGTAAGGAAAGATTTGAAAGAGTTTTTTTATCTACAGACAGAGGAGATGCATAGAAGAAAGCAAAGAAGATACATATAAATTTACAATTTCAAAGCATTATATTTCTAGACTGAACTCTGATCTATCTTTGCATAATCTTGAGATGTTTTTTGCATAATCTATTGGGTTGATGCATAATTATCCGGACTTCTTTTTGCGTGCTTGTATCTTTTTTGTTTTGAAAGCTTTTTGTCTATTTCTTTTTTTTAAATATTCGTTATTCTTTAGTGAAGAAAATGCGTGTTGACAATCATATCCATCTTCGCCATATCATGCTCTACCACTTCGAGAAGGGATGGTCTGCCGCAGAGTCGTTTCGCGATCTCAAAGAACTGGAGAAGCCCCAACGGACTACCACGTCAATCGATCGCTCAAAAATTGGCAAACAAATAAGATCTACAACGATTTGGATGACTTGATAGACGATGTTAAAGCGTGGATTGCCTCCAAAGATCGTTTATTCTTCGCTCGTGGAATCGATCGTCTTCCAAGCAAATGGCAATCAGTTATTGATGTAGGCGGTGAATATGCTCCAGAATAATCAATTAAACATATTTTTCTAACTATTTATGTTATTTTTTGTTAAATAAAATCTTTTATAAAAGAAGTCCGGATAATTATGCATCAACCCAATATATAGCATTTCCATTCTCAAATCATAATTCATTTCAATTCAATCATAATTCATTTCCTTTCAAGATTCTAATAAAAGTTTGCAATGAAATATAAGTGAAATGAACTTAAAAATGTGACGGAAAGTTGAAATTGTTTGTTGAGTCAGTTTTGGTACTAGAGTTTAACTCTCAAAGAATATAATTGACTATTTATTTTTACACTAGCTGAAAAGTCACAATGTAAAGCATAGAGAACAAAGATAATATAACATTCTTTTTGAATCCCATGCTATCAGTATTGGATTAGCTCGTCTTGGACAGGTAAGAGAAGAAGCCGGGATAAAGAATGATGTCCATAATCCTTGAGTGGCTATTTAGTTGTACCAAGGAATAGGAAAGCCAAAAAAAACCAAGTAAAGAAAGATTTGAAAGAGTTTTTATCTATAGAGAGAGAAGATGCATAGAAGAAGGCAAAGAAGATACCGTTTAGTTCCGTCGGCCATTGGAAGAAAAGCCTGATTTCCCGCGCTCAACGATTCATATTCTGGACACGATCAGTGGAGTCAACGCTTGATTTTCTATCTTCAATTCAATTTATTCTGTTCTTTATTTGATTTTCAGTTTTTGATCCCTTTAGCGGTATTCCGCTTTTGCTTAAATTGCCAAACTAAACCCTAAAATGTGCCATCCAGTTAAAAGCCAAATCATTCCATTGTAATCGGTTGTAAAATTTTATTATTTAGTTTTATAGAGAGTTCAAATCTTTAAATCAATCTATCAGTATATCAAATTAAAAAATTCAACCAAAAAAAAATCCCAGGTTTATTGGGAAAGTTGTTCTCTAGAGTTTACTTTATGCTCTAAACTATAAACGTGCCCCATCTGGAGCATCTAAGAAAAGATATAACCAAATTTTATACTTGTGAGACACTTGTGAGACTACTGTGAGACAAGACTGACTCTTTTTGCTTTGAATTTAACTCTCATGAGATTTTGAGATTCTTTTATGTGCAACGATTCACATAACGATAAATGCTTATCCCTTATGCTTACGGTTATTTTATTATTCGCCTATTTCTCTCTCAAAGCCATAGATTTCTAGACTGAACTCTGATCTATCCTTGCATAATCTTGAGATGTTTTTTGCATAATCTTTATAGCATTTCCATTCTCAAATCATAATTCATTTCAATTCAATCATAATTCCTTTCCTTTCAAGATTCTAATAAAAGTTTGCAATGAAATATAAGTGAAATGAACTTAAAAATGTGACGGAAAGTTGAAATTGTTTGTTGAGTCAGTTTTGGTACTAGAGTTTAACTCTCAAAGAATATAATTGGCTATTTATTTTTACACTAGCTGCAAAGTCACAATGTAAAGCATAGAGAACAAAGATAATATAACATTCTTTTTGAATCCCATGCTATCAGCATTGACAATTGGATTAGATCGTCTTGGACAGGTAAGAGAAGAGGCTGGGAGAAAGAATGATGTCTGTAATCCTTGAGTGGCTATTTAGTTGTACCAAATAAAGAAAGATTTGAAAGAGTTTTTTCTCTACAGACAGAGAAGATGCAGAAGGCAAAGAAGGTACAGATAAATTTACAATTTTTAATTGTTTCAGCAGACATATAAGACACTAGGCAAAGACTCAGGAAACTCAAAAGGAACATAAATGTCACGTAGCTTTTACCGATAAACAAAGACAGATCTGAATAAAGTAGATTTATTCGACACGAATAATGAATGACAACACAATGGAGGAAATTTTTACACCTAATTACCCCTATTGCCGAAATGTTGTTAAGAAAAAAACCCATAATAACGAGAGAAACGGGTTCTTTTCCCATAATAACGGGAAAAAGAACCAATCTTTCTAGCCGCTAGGATTAAAGCCTTAACCTCCCGACTAGGAGCCAAGCCTCCTATCCGATCGGCTACGACGGCTGAATGTTCTACATTCTCTTCATTACTTTTGTTTTGACTATAAAATTGTTTATCACAAAAGTCAAACAAAAAAAACAACAAAAAGAGTTACAGTTGAACAAAATCTAAAAAACATAATTCCAGGAAAGTCTAGAACGAAAGGAGCTTTCCAAACAGAGATTTTAAGAACAACTGCAAAATCCTAATAATGAAACAAAGAGCAATAAATTATGCTAAAATTTATAGATTCAATGGGGAATATTTGAATTTGAAAAGCTATAGAGATTCACGGAAAGAAATATGAAACTATTCTAGGGCCATCTTGTCTTTCTTCTCTTGGCTATCGCACAAAATCTTTTCAAAGCATCAAGTCTCACTTCAAGAACACTCCTAGATTTCGTAGCTGAATGTTCGTGAATCCAACCCATCTCCTCGTATCCACGATTTGAGATCAAAGTCAGCCAGGGTTCTCCAAGTTTTGAAAACTAAAATTCTCGAAATTTTCTTTCCGGTGAATCGTACTCAAGTTTAGAATTGTTTTAAAGGTATTTTTGAATTCAAAGCAGAATTTGGCTTTTATGAGCTGGCTTCTGATTTATTTTCTAGCGAGGGAATGATACTAAATCACTGTGGCCTTTCCAAATGAGAACTAGTCTATCCGATGCCGTTTTTTTACGCTGCTTTCGAATCCGGTTTTAGTTTTTGCAGAATGCATCGGAAAAACGCGATTTTTGACAAACCTATCACTATAGAAAGCAATTATAAAACAAATTCCAAAAAACTCCATCAATTTCTGAAAAATAGCCGCTTCTTTGATTGGCATGATTGCCTAGAAATTCCTTATTCCCTTGTAGGTCTCTGGTTCGTCGGAAATCAGACATGAACATAGCTTCTGGTCAAGTCAAGACCTTGCTTTGCTTGCTTGCTTGCTTGCCTGCAAACCAAGGATTCAATTGGAAACTCTCTGTAGGTCTGCCAGAAATCAGAAATGAACCTAGCTTCTGGACAAGACGAGATCTTGCTTTGCCTACTTGTTTGCTTGCCTACTTGCTTGCTTGCTTGCTTGCCTACTTGCTTGCTTGCTTGCTTGCTTGCCTACTTGCTTGCTTGCCTACTTGCCTACTTGCTTGCTTGCTTGCCTACTTGCTTGCTTGCTTGCTTGCCTACTTGCTTGCTTGCTTGCCTACTTGCCTACTTGCTTGCTTGCTTGCCTACTTGCTTGCTTGCTTGCCTGCGACCTTGCCTGCAACCCAAGGATTCAATTGGAAACTCTCTACTCAAGCTTAATGTCATTTTCATGAAATAAATTTAAGCTTAAAAATTCACAAACCTCTCTTTTCAAATTATTTGCCATTTGAAAAGCCAAATCATCGAGCTCCGACAGTATAATGTTTTTTTTGATGAATTCTTGATCCTCTTTAGCGTGATTATTTGCTTCTTGGATCACTCTTTTGACTTCATCCTAAATTTAAGAATTGTAAATTTAAAAATTCAGACCAAGATCCATTCTTATCTCTTAATTATCTCTCACCTAAGCTTAAGGTATGAACAATTATGTAAAAGTCCCGTAATTTAAGGCTGGTGAGGTGAATTATATTAAGGAGCACGAGTACAGACATAGGAAAATTCCAATCCGAACCTAATTCCACCTTCTTGGCCAACTCTTGTGACTTTTGTTCACGCAAATTTACATATCCCTTTTCCCCTAGTCGTGATTTGACCCAACGGTACAATACTGCTAACTAGAAATGGGAAAATTCCAATCCAAACCTAATTCCACCTTTGTTTTCTTGGCCAATTCTTGACCGATTGCTCTGAAATTTTCTCTACAAATAGAAATCGACATTCTCAGCTTATAGAGAAAATTTCAGAGCAATCGGCCAAGAATTGGTCAAGAAAACGAAGGTGGAATTAGGTTCGGCTTGGAATTTTGTCTAGTACATAAACTTTATCTTAATCCTGTGAAGTTCACATTTAAACAATAATTTACCGCTTCATAAAAACCATCTCGCAATTGTCGAAGTGAGAGAAAATTCGAGTCGTTTGTGAGCGGATCCTCAATAAACACTTCCAATTCGCCTCTTCGATGCACGTTGAAACTCACAGTCGCATGAACGAACCCCTTTTCTCCACGACGAATTTTATATTGTAAAGTCCCCAGCAATCTGTTAGCTGATGCCATTGCTCTTTCACCTTCATAGATCTAAAAACACATTTCTTTTGAGTAACTTATTCTTTTTGAAATTCACCTGTATCTCCATGCTGCTTTGTCCATCGTACGTTGTTGTGCAAGTGATTTGTTTTGAAATTGGAATCGGTGAATCTTTCGGGATCACAACTTTCATGAGGTTGCCTCGAAATCGGACACCCAATGACAGAGCGGTTGCATCTCGGAAACTCAACTGGGTTAAGCGCTTTGAAATGTAGCCTCCGAGTTTAGCTGCCTGAAATTACAATAATTCAGGTCTCTTTGTAAATTTGTTTGATTTAATTGCTCAGTGGAATCGGATTTAAGTTTCTAGTCAACAATGAATGACAACAATGAATGACAATAATGAATGACAACAATGAATGACAACAATGAATGACTCACCTGAATCGCCGCACCTTCAACCACCATTTCATCCGAGTTTACAGCACTTTTGTGTTCGCATTTCACTTTGCTTTTCAAAAGTTCTTGAATCCTCTGAATTTGAGTCGAATGGCCAAGTACTAGTAAGTCGTCAATCTGAAAAAGAAATCTGAAAAAGAAATCTGAAAAAGAAATCTAAAAAAGAAACGAGTTACTTGTTAAATCATGAAAATAAGCAAACCGTGGATTTAAATCAAATGCAGATTTAAATCAAATGCATAATTAAAGTCAGCCAAACCTGTTTTGCCTTTAGATTTGTCATTTTTAGAGCCACATCTATCGGAGCTATCATTTCTTTAAAAACGTCCCGACAAATCCATTCAAATTTCTTTCGTTTGATCGTGATTTTAAAGTCAAAAAGTTTCAACGATGGAATGTTGATTAACGCCTAAATTTATATTCTTATTGGGTTGGTGAATTGAAAACTGCCGGACTTTGAACTAAAATTTATTCAACATAAAGCCATCAATTCAATCCAAATAATTTCCATTATTATTGATGACTTCTGCCCATTTTACAGGCAATTTGTGGATTCCTCTTTCGTAGTAGGATTTTGGTTTGTGTGTGAGACAAGTGTGAGACTCAAAAATGGAGGACTGGAGATGTCAGCCGTCAGCCCAGTTTGAGCACTTTCTTCAAAAGAAACCCATTTTGGTGTCAATAGAAAAGTTGTAGAGAATCTAACAAGAGAATGGAAAAATCAACTGAAATGGTCAACTGGATGTGGTCAAATCAAATGATCACAGACCATTCGACGCAGAATTACACGCTGAATCCGAATCTGCTTTCTGTTTTTGCTATGGAGCACTCTGTCAAAAGTTAGAAGCGCTCAAAGTTTTGTAAGGACCGCCGACGGGGTTTCTTTTGAAGGAAGTGCTCAAACGTAGTAGAATTTTAGCTTCTGTGAGAGACAAGTGTGAGACTCAGAAATCGAGAACTAGAGATGTCCCAGTTTGAGCACTTTCTTCAAAAGAAACCCATTTTGGTGTCAATAGAAAAGTTATAGAGAATAAAAAATTAGGCTTATAGCCGAATTTCCAAAAAGATACACTTAGTAGTTTCGCTTAAAATGCAAGTTTTGTGAAAATTCGTAAATTTCTTGCCTTTCTTGAAAACCAGTTTTTGAATCGTTCTGAAAATTTGGATATAAGCTTGATTTTTGATTCTCTACAACTTTTCCATTGACACCAAAATGAGTTTCTTTTGAAGAAAGTGCTCAAACTGTGACATATGACAATAGCCGGCAGTTTTCAATTCACCCAACCCAATAGTGATCCCTTCTGGAGCAGAGTTTTTACTTAATATAGCCACAAAATAATATCAATAAGGAACTTATGGCTAAATTTATCAATAAGCATCGGGCTTTTATAGATACAGTCGAATTTCGAGATAACGAACTTTGATACAATGAAATGATCGATATAACTATACTTTCAGAGTATCCCCTTTGCCCATTCAGCTGAATATCTTTTAGCTTTTAGCTTCGTAAGGTATTTCAAACAAAAGGGGCAGCTACGAAAAATCTACACAGAAAAAGAGGTGGAGCTTCGTAGCTTTCGTAGCTGTTCCTTTTGTTCGAATCTTTCCAAAAAATTAAAAATATTAAAAGAGTGGACTTCTAGAGGTGACTTAAAAGGAGAATTGTCATCTTTGTTCATCCCAACTTTTCCATTGACATCAAAATGGGTTTCGTTTGAAGAAAGTGCTCAAACTATCACATATGACAATAGCCGGCAGTTTTCAATTCATCAACCCAATAGTTTAAAAATCTAATAAACCGTTTCGTGTTGAGTCAAATCAATCTTTGCTTGTTCGCATGCGAGTAAAAGTCGACGACGAGCTCGTTCAAAAGTGAGCGTTTCGTTGAAATCCTTTTTGATTTTTCTCATTAAATAAACGGCCAACTCTATTTCAAGAGCTTGACTACCGGTGCTACTTTTTGATGTTGATAACACTTTGAAATGATCTTGTTTTATCTCGAGAATCGATACGATAACACCGTCACCTAAATCAGCAAACTTGCAAGTGATTTACAAACAATATTTGCATATTTGGTAGATTGAAAAAGTTGTTTTATTGAATCAAAATAAGCGAGATTACGGTAATTTTTATTAACATTAACATTAACATTAACAATTTCATGGACTTGAGCCTTGAAAACTGACAAAACTAGAATAAACCCTGTTAAAAAATGAAACCTTCAAAGCTCACCCACCTCGCAAATGATAAACCATGATGTACTTTGACTTGTTGCTTGAATTCTTGATCCCAGAAGCCAGAGCAGCGGCCACCGGCTCTGATAAGCCGTAGCAAACTCGAAGACCAGCACTTTTTGCAGCTTTCCGTATCTCCAGCTTTTCCAAATCGCAGAGATAACTTGGGATCGCAAATGCGCATTCGTGAATCGGCCTTCCAAGAAATTCTTCGCAAGATTGCTAAAATTTGGTAGTAGTTGCGTGAATTAAGAGATTATAAAAGAGCTGATTTGGCGTGTTCATACATTTAATCCATGAAAAAGCCTTGTTAAAGCCTTTGTCCTTGGTGACATTTCTTCCATTTCAAAGAGCACACCGGCGCGGGTTAATTGTCTATCTAAAGAAGATCTGATGACAGCTGATCAGCAAGATAAAAATAAAGCTTTAAAGTCTTTTTAAAATGCAGAATTGTAGCAAAAATCCGAGCAAATTCGGGATCAAAGTTTTTCTTCTCCTTTGATTTCCCTTTTGTTTTGTTGATGACACAAAAAGATATTCAGCTCTAAATTTGTCTCCAGGGGTTTTCGAGGTCGGCGAATCGATTGAAGCTATTCATTTTATTGAGTTCACCAACCCATTTGGACCATTCCGTCTTTGTTGCTATCCCTGGCTTTTCTTTAAAATTTAAAAATGAAAAACGCTGAGAAACTAGGTCTAATGAATAGCAAATTTGCTAATTTGCAAATTTCAAAATGCTATCCAGTCCTACAAACAATTTAACTTTAGCCAATTTTTAAAAACAAATTTGAAGGCGCGACCAGCTCAAAAAACTTGATGAGAAACTTAAGGAAAAGCGCCTGAATTTGAAAAAGATTATTCTTAAACACGAGAACGCCAGTTCAAATACCGTAAAGTTGACCGCTCAACAATCCACGAGTTGAACTGGGAGTTCTTACCCCATCCACCATTTTCTCCTGATCTCAGTTCTACAGCTTACCCTCCTGACCTCAGTTCTACAGCTTACCCTCCTGACCTCAGTTCTACAGCTTACCCTCCTGACCTCAGTTCTACAGCTTACCATCTTTTCCAATCGATGCAACATTCCCTGGATGGAAAGCACTTTCAAAATAGAGAAGACCTCAAAAAGTGACTCCAAGACTATATTGGCTCGAAATCAAAAATTTTCTATCAGAGGGGAATCCGCTAATTGCCAGTAAAATGGGCGAAAGTCATCGCAAATAATGGAGACTATTTCCATTAAACTGCTCTTTTGTTTGTCAATAAATATTGTTTCGGATTTGGGTTCAAGCCAGGTTTACAACCCAATACCAATTGGAACTCGGGCTCAATTTCTAACGTAACTAACGTTGTGCAAAGATCATACTTGTGCTGCTTTCTGAAGACCCAAGAAATGAATCCAAAAAGACGCTTTGCTCCGAGGGCACGGAGAAAACGTTTTGACCTAAATTTTCTTTGATTCTCTCTTCAGCTCGAAAAACTACCATTCCCAGCCGGAATACAAATCGCTTCGTCTCCCACAAAAACGGCGACTCGGGCTTGCATATTTCTCAAATGAATGCCGATACTCAAAGACTCAACGAATTTGCGGTAACCCCTAGAAAAGATTTGAGTAATTTTATAAAAAAAGAAAAAAACGTGCTTTTGGTGTATATCATGCTCTCGAGCCTCTTTTGCGAGAACTTGTTTTTCGAATGTCTTCCGAACTTTGTCTTTCAAAAGCGCCATTTCTTTCGTTCTTTCCAAGGATAGTTTGAATGTTTCACGAGTGGTTTCCCTTGAGTTTTGGACCTCAACTGTAAAAACGGGGATATGAAATGATTGAAACTAAAAAGTGAAAAATTTTAGCATTGTATTGTCTATTTGTGTGTCGGTATGATTCCCTAACTCAGCTTTCATCTTATCTTGATCTGTGATTGTTCAATTTGATTGTGGAATTGGAAAATGGTCGAAAGAAATGCCGAGGGTGGTACAGTGCCTTTATCCAGATTTTAACGAACTAAAAGAATCCAAACTATCTTGTTGATTACGGTAAATAGCCAGCAGCACAGTTTGAGCCTTGGGATAAACAGTCAGTGTGTTCCTCGCAAACAAATAATCTACTATATATAAAGCAAAAGAGACGTCTGTCCGTCTATCCGTCTATCCATCTGTCCGTCTGTCCATCTGTCCGTCTGTCCGTCTGTCCATCTGTCTATTCGTCTGTCCGTCTATCCGTCTGTCCATCTGTCCGTCTGTCCATCTGTCTATTCGTCTGTCCGTCTATCCGTCTGTCCGTCTATCCGTCTGTCCGTCTGTCCATCTGTCCGTCTGTCCATCTGTCCGTCTGTCCATCTGTCCATCTGTCCGTCTGTCCATCTGTCCGTCTGTCCATCTATCCGTCTGTCCATCTGTCCATCTGTGCGCAGCCATCAGCAGAAAGGGGCGGGGCTTAGATTGCGCGGAAAACGTGAACCTCTCCAGTGGAAAACGCGAACGTTAGTGAGCGTTTTCCACTGGAAGAATGTCTGGAGAGGTGCACGATGCGAAATTGCAAGCTATTCAGTTTTCCTTTTGTATAAAACTTTCCCAAATAAGATGCTCAGCCAAATGATTAAATAGCTTGTGTGACAGCCGTATATAAAGCGCTTCGCAAGATTTTTTGCCATTTTTATTGTTAAATAATATGCGACAACTACTTTTTTACTGATAGTACTTTTAAGAATGTCTTACTTAAGAGGAACACACTCTATAAACAGTTGTTAAAACGCAAAACTCACCTAAAAGCTGTGTCAACTTTGCCCGAATGTCGGCTTGTTGAAACCCGGAAGTCTGTATCGATATGATTTCTTGATCAAAATGAATGGATTTCAGAAAATCCTCTGAACAAGCCTAAAAGAATTGACTTAAAAATCAAAATATTTCAAAAGATTACCTTAATCATTGGATCCAATACTGTCTGCAAGACATTCTCGGCAAACTTCTTCAAGTCCACCACTGGAATGATGGAGAATCTCTGACTCAGATTTTGAACCGTCAGGAAGGTTTCTCTCATTTTATAATCGGCAAATTTTTCATTCTCTTGATTCAGAAGAGTTTC